TACTAAGTACTGAACCAAACAATTCAATAAATAAATGCGCTAATGAACAACCGGTTCTGCAAAGATGACATACAAGGGATCAATAAACATGAAAAAAAGTACTAGATTTTCTTAGTCATCAGAGAAATGCAAATTAAAACTACATTGATTCAGTCTCACTGTAGTCAGAATGGCCACCATTAAGAGAATAAATACAGCAAGTTCAGGAGTAGGGAAAGGGGAACCCTCCTGCATTCTTGGTGGGAATGTATATTAGTCCAAAGACTATGGAAATAAGTGTGTAAGTTCCTTAAAAAACCCTATCATATGAACTGTCCACAACATGCCTGGGTATATTGTTGAAGGACTATAAGTCAATGTACCACATAAGTACTTATACAATCATGTTTATAGCTACCCCAGTCACAAAGCTGAGTTATTGAATAAGTCTAGGTTTCTATCAACAGATAAGTGGATAAAGAAAATGTGGCATATATAGACAATGAAGTTTTATTCAGTCTTCCTCGATGTACCACATAAATACTTATACAAACCATGTTTATGGGTGCACTAGTTACAACAGCTAAGTTATTGAATAAGGCTAGGTTTCTATCAACAGATAAATGGATAAAGAAAATGTGGCATATATAGACAATGAAGTTTTATTCAGTCTTCAAGATAAATGAAATTGTTTGATTTTCAGGATAATGGATATAACTAACCGTCATTATACTGAACAAATATATTCAGACTGAGTAGCAAAACATCACGTTTTTTAGATGTGGATGTATTATTCTGAGCAATTGAGCCTGGGTCTCCCCTGACCTGTTCTGAGCTGGGACAGTGGTGATGTCCTGCTGTCTCCCACTGGGGCTTACACTCTGTTCCACAATTTGGCTTGAAGCCCAAACTGGCATGTATGTGTCCACCAATGACAGCCAACTCCCCAGCAAACAGAGATTTTGTTAATTGCTCCTCCTGGGTCCATTTAAAGAAATGGCTGTGAACATCCCTCCCAAGTGTTTTCCATGGACAGGGACAAAATTTGCCAAAGATGAACCTAAAATTCTTGGCAATATAAGCTTAAATAGGGTGACAAAAAGCTTCATCTGTCTGTACAGGAACTCAGTTTCACCAAGTTCCCAACTTTATCTGTGCTGGACAGAGAGAAAGTCATATATACAATGTGTTAGCTGCACAAAGGTGAAGTTTTATCAAGGTAATTATGAGTATTTCAAGGATTGTTTGTTCCATGGGGGTGACATAAAACAGTTGGGGATAATTTGTCTTGTAATCCTGCTTAATATTAGTGAATGACATAAAAACAGCCCGTGTTAATTTAACCGAATGTATTTAGTTATGTAGCACCAGCAACATGGAGATATTTCTCCCTAGGTAGTATTACTGTTTGATCCATGAATGTGACAATGATGCAAACGAGATGCCAAATGTGTCTGAATTTAAGGCTTGTATGTCACCTCACAGCCATAAAAGCACCCATTCCAGTTGTGGATAGGTGATTGCTTTTTTTTTTTAAACTCCCCCTTTTTTTTTTTTAAACATTTGCTAGGATTCATGTAGGTTGGTATTACACAAAAAAAGAATTCTGGACTGGAATCCAAAAGCTTGGGACTGAATACTAGCCTTGTCAGCTAATGCTCTGTGATTAGTGCAAGCCATTTAGAGTGCCTTTATAGATAGACTGGACAAAGCCATTTTGATGTAAAGCTAAATGCTTGAAATTTCAGTTCTGATTTTTAGTTTTCTGTTTTTGAAATATATTTCAAGTAGGACTATGTATCTTCACATATAATAAAAGTACATTGGATAAACTATATAGTGTTTCTGAAAACTCTGAGCCCCTATAGAGATTTAATAATGAGGATGTTGTAAATTACTCATTCTTAATTACCATAAGACAGTAATAATTTATTTGTGAAATGTTGGACCCTGAACTGGAACTAAAGTAAAATTTCACTAAAAATAAATTGTGTTCCTTATAAAATTCAATCTTCTGGAAAATATGAAATTAAAATTTTAACTCCAGGGATTTTGAGTGCAGTTGTGTTTCTGAAGTGATGAAATCCACAATGTATGTTGATTTTCTAGGAGGATTAACAACTAGAGGATTCAGCATGTGGGTAAAATATCGCTGTTTAAATATCCAGGGTGTGGTCATTGTGCTGTCTGGATGCAGCAGGAGTGTAAAATGGGTAGCTGACATCTGAGGTCTCGCTCTTTCCACTCACATCCTTAGTGATAATTTATGAAGCTTGATGAGACCTGAAACCAAACCCCTAGAATTCTCACAGGAGAGTCAGCTTTGTTCTTTGCAGGAAAAGAGGAGACTTCACATCACTCTCATGGACACTCTTGGCATCCTGATACCTTGCCTCCCTGTTGGCTAGCTAGACAAGGAGACTGTCCACCTTGCCTGAAAATCACTTGAGATGGGTTGTTTTCTGCAGGGGAATCTGTTCCTGTGGCTAAAAGGGCTTGTTGGAACTATTTTATCCCTGTAAAGATCCTTCATTCATGTTGGAGGCTTCTTTAGTGTTTCCTATCCTCACTTGGACTGGAGGAAAAAGAATCAGGTTCAAACTTTACTCTGTGGTGGGTTTTCTTGGTGCCCAGTAACATGTGTGACAGATGAAGCGCTCTACTGCTCTGTGAGTGTAGGGAATGAAGGCACTTGTCTCTTTCGGATGTGAGCTATGGCAACACTACTATGTTTAATCTGTAGTGTGTGCAGTGGAGGGATCACGATGGCTGGGGGAGTCAGTGTATAAAATTCTAGTGGAGAGTGCAGACACCTAGACCATCAAAGCAAACACTGATCCTTTTTATCCTGACTTATGTTCTCAGCCTCAGCTTTTCTTTCTCCCTTGCTGATGAACAGCTCACACTCTGGGCCACGGTGAGGAACACATAATGTTACATTTATTTCTCTTGATCCAAATCATAAATTGAGAAAAAAAATACTATTCAGTCTTTTATTCTCAAACAAAAATGAAATGAAACAAGCATATCGTGCTATTTCATTCATCCAAATGATTGGGGTATCCTGATCCTCAGATCCCAGGAAGACACTGAGATGAAGGCCCAGCGGGTCCACCAGCACAGGTTCTGTCCTGAGTCTGCCCGTTGCTGTCCACCACTGCAACGCCATGCTCTTCTGTTCAAAGGACACTTGTCATCTTACAGAAGAGCAATATGACTTAAACTGTAGCTGACGCTTAGACAGTTTTCATAAGCATTCAATATTCTGGAAGTCTGGCAAAAAAGGGAATTCTTAGTTAAAAAAAAGGGTGTATTCTTAACCCTTTAATGACCAAGGAATTGAAAAGGAGGAAAGCAGAAATGTGGTGGCATCCATGCTGGTTTTCTCTCCAGCCATAGTGCACACTGTCTGAAGAATAGAAACGTGGCTGCTGTTATTTGGACTAGATTTTCTTTAGCATTGAAATAACAAACATAGTTGAACATCAGGCATAGCACTTGTGCCCCAAACCACACATGGGCACTTGGACCAATGTTAGAGAGCCAGCTTCATCACAGGTCAACAGCACCTGTAATGGATCCTAGACCAAAGGTCAGTAGAGAATCTTGAGGGTTCATAAAAGAGGGAGTGACCCTTCCTTCTCGGGGAGGGGATGTTTGGAAAGAGGAGCAGATGAACCATTTGGCTTTTGAGAAGGAGGGCCTCCTGGCTGAGGAGGTTGTAGGAACTGCCCCAAAATCCTGATGTGACTTAGTGCATTTGCAGAGAGCTGGCTGTGGCAGTGTCTGTGTCCATTGCTGTGTCGGTGTATGTGTCCATTTCTGTGTCTGTGTCTGTGCCAATGTCTGTCTGTGTCCATGTCCGTGGATGTGTCTCTGCCAACGTCTGTGTCTGTGTCCATGGCCATGGCTGTGGCTGTGCCCTTGGCTGTGTCTGTTCTGTGGCCATAGCTGTGCGCATGGTTGTGTCTGTGCCTGTGTCTGTGGCCATGTCTGTGGCCATGGCTGTGTCTGTGTCTGTGTCTGTGACTTTGAGGGCTAAGACAGGTAAGAAGAGGAGGAGACTTCTTCTGTACTGTATGGAAGTATTTGCTCTACCATCAGTGAGGAGTTGCTGAATCATTAGAAGGAGCTCATATATACACACCTGCCTTTCAGGAAAGCTGCTCTAGAGAAAAATCAGAAAACACATGAGCAAAAGCAATGAACTGAAAACCAAGCTTGGTCTGCTATGCATGAGTTATTTTGCCTCCAGATACATAACCAAATGCCTCTTTATTAATTTTTGTGCTTTAACTCTTAATGATTGTGCATATTATTTTAAATTTCCCACTGTATTTAAAAGGTATCAGCAAGAGGCTGTCAATGTATCATTTTGATAAGTATCCAGCACTACATTGATAAACTCAACTTGGAGAGAATAGGTACCTTTGTAATTTCTAGGCCTAAATTATTTTGATCCGAGAGGATTTTTTGAAATTATTTACCCCAGAAAAATTTCCAGAAAGTGTTGCTCAAATGGAAACTTTGTGTATGTATGTGTGTGTGTGTGTGTGTGTGTGTGTGTGTGTGTGTGTGTGTGTGTGTTCGTGTGTTCTGGTGCACTTGCGTGTGCTGATACCCATACTCCTGAGCCCAAATGCATATGGAGGCCAGAGGACAACTTTGGACACTATTCCTCAAGCCCCACCCTTCTGTTTTTGGGGGCCGTGTGAACGCTGTTAGTCAACTTACTGAGTTGATCAAGTCGTGGATGACAGAGTGGATCTTTGATTTAATTTGCTTCTCTTTGGCTGAGATTTAATGAAAATTAATGAACTTAATTGGTGACTTGCACTTATTTTTTATGAACTGAATGATCACGTTCTTTGTTTTTATGTAGCAGTAGGGTGTTTGTCTTAGTATATTGCAATGAAGCTGTATGTTATCATTCATTAATGCCACGTTTTCAGGAATGAATGAAACATGGCAATGACTTTTCTTAAGAAACCTTTCACCTCTTTTTCTAGCCCTGGAATCTTATGAAAACATGGGTCGATAATCACCTAATAGTGTCTGCTATCCTTCTCAGTCAAGGACGATGAGAAACCAGACCCTGGTGACAGAGTTCATCCTTCAGGGCTTCTCTGAGCACCCTCAGTACCAGCTGCTCTTATTTATTTGTTTCCTCTCTCTCTACTCTGTGGCCCTCCTAGGTAATGTCCTTATCATCCTGGCCATCACCTGCAACCCTGGGCTCCACACCCCCATGTACTTTTTCTTGTTCAATTTGGCTACCATGGATATCATCTGCACCTCCTCCATTATGCCCAAGGCCCTGAAGGGTCTGGTGTCAGAGAGGAACCCCATCTCCTATGGCGGCTGCATGGCCCAGCTCTATTTCCTTACGTGGGCTGCATCCTCAGAGTTGCTCCTTCTCACAGTCATGGCCTATGACCGCTATGCAGCCATCTGCCATCCTCTGCATTATGGCACCATGATGAGCAAAGCATTTTGCAGCATGTTGGCTGCTGGAGTGTGGGCGCTCTGTGCTTTCAACACAGCCATTCACACAGGACTGATGACACGCTTGAATTTCTGTGGCCCCAATACCATTACACATTTCTTCTGTGAGGTACCGCCTCTCCTGCTTCTCTCCTGTAGCTCCACCTATGTGAACAGTATCATGATTGTCTTGGCTGATGCTTTTTATGGTGTATTGAATTTCCTGATGACCATTGTGTCATATGGTTTCATCATTTCCAGCATCCTGAAGATGCGGACCTCAGAAGGGAAGCAGAAAGCCTTCTCTACCTGCTCTTCCCACCTCATTGTGGTGTGCATGTATTACACTGCTGTCTTCTATGCCTACATAAGCCCGGTCTCCAGCTACAACCCAGAGAAGAGCAAGTTGGCTGGTGTGCTGTACACCATGCTGAGCCCTACACTCAACCCTCTCATCTATACTTTGAGAAACAAGGAGGTCAAAGCCGCTCTCAGGAAACTTTTTCCTTTCCTCAAAAATTAAAATGTGATTCCCGAAGTTCTTCTCTTGGGGTTGGAGTTTCATTGTGGATTGGTTTCCCATGGGCAAACGATGGGTTGTTTGTGTGCTGAAGAAGCAAGCTAACCTTTTCCACCAAGTGCAATGTCTTTGTAGATGACCTCAGAGCGCTGGTCAACCGACACTGACTGATGGAAGAGTGTGGTTGAATGTGGGCTCACTGGACTCTAAGCCTGAGAAATGGGGTCTCTGGGCCTGACCCCAAGATGATACAGTACTGTATTATCGGAGAAACAAAACCCTTTAAGAGGACAGAAATGCCCCTGAGCCTTAGTCTCACAGCTGTATGGAAACGCCTTTCTTTTCTTTGGATATATAGCATCCATGTGGAGATCACACTTAGAATTGAAGAGATATGTGTGGACCCCGTAACATTTTGAGGATTGCATGACTCAAGAATTGTTTCACATGACTTCTGGTCCCCAAGAAACTAACCCACTCCTTCTATTTTCCTCCACCTCTTCCTGTTGGAGCCCTTTAAGCCACAAAGACAGTTTTTGATGTTAATGTGAATGATTGTTCCTGCTTTCCCCTTTTCCTCTCACTAACATTAGACTCAAGGTGAAACAAAATTTAAAAACTCCATCTTTACCACATGATATGTGGTTTATACACCTAGAAAACTACCCAGGGTTTCTCACCTCTTGAGTCAGTCTTTGAATTGAGAGTCTGACCCACTTCATTGCCCTGGGCACAGGTGATATGAGTCAGCTGTAACAAAAGCACTGGAAGAAGGCACTGAATCAATTTGAACTCTAGTTTCCCTTTAAGCATAATAAAGACAAAAGCCAACCTAGGGCTTGAGTGAAATAACTGACAAAAAATGATATCAAGTGTTTTATGTAATAAAACATCGTTCTTAGTGAGTGTTCACTGAGGACCAGAGCAGTTGTGGAAATCTGAATATTACACTTCCTGGTTCACATTGGCTAGTGATGGCTGGCTGGACTACTGGGGTGAAATTGTATGAGACCATACTTAACTCTCTGAAATAATCCAATGGAGAGGAGCAACTGGTGTGGGTAGATGAGAGACCTTATCCCAGTGGTTGCTGGTGCCACAGGTGAACCTTGTGCATCTCAGTAACTTATAGAGGCTGAATACCACCATTTGTTTTCAAGAGAGGCCAAAGGGGAGAGTTCCCTGGAGATAGCAATTCAGCCTTCTCTTAGTCTGAGTCCTTCCCAGACCCCGTTATCATCTTCTTTAAGTCCGGACATGTTTCTCCCATCTGCACATTCCAACAGGTCCATTTGTGTTCAGATCACTCTGTCCTCCTTGCCCAGCTGAACACTATTTTGGTCTCTGCTTTATTTTGTTGCTTAAGCCTCTTTCTGTAGCTGTCTGGTGGAACGCCTCTACCTTATTTCCTTGTATTGCAGGGACATATGTGTCTGTTTCCTCCAACAGCCCAGCAACTATGTCTTTGTTCTATTGTGGATCCCTTTGTAGGAATCAGTACAATTTCCCATAGGCAGGAGAGAATCAGTTCTTTTCATGTAGTGTTATCCCTTAAAATTAGTCCTGTCACCTAACATGAGGAGCCCTAAAGAGGAAGTAACAGATTCCATGTCATCTATGTCTCTGTTTTCTGTCCTTGATAACACAAATTAGTCCAGGTAAGCACATCTTTTCTTTGAACCATCCCCTGTCACAGGTCCTTAGTCTCTCAATGTTCTTGACCCAATTGAACCTCTTGATGTGGTAGAAACCAGACTGGTTTGCTAGTACCAGCTACTACCATACACAGAAAGTCTGGATGGAGGACCCAGGTGATGGGTCTTCATGTACAAGGTAAACTCTCTCTAAGCATGGTATGCAGACAATCATAGGTTGCAATGTTTCCTCATTCTGGCTCCATGTCATATTCAAGAACTAAGTGAAGCAACTTAGAGCTCAGCAGTAGATGATTCGAAGGCTCAGGATTTGATCTCCAGCACTGGAAATCAGACAGTGAAACACACACACACACACACACACACACACACACACACACACACACACACGGAAAACCCAGTCTCTTGGTCTTGCTTTGTCCGTTATGAGGGTGTGAATGCCTCATGACTCCAGCAGGTTAGAATTCCCAACCTCCTGTATCTGAACCTATCCAAAGGATCAGGAGAAAGTGAGCTGACTACAAGCATCCATCTTCCTCTGTTTTCTGAATGCAGATGTAATGTGACCAGCTGCCTCATGCTCCTGCCTCCCTGCCTTCCATGCCATGATGGACTGTACCTTGGTACTGTACTATGAGCAAAAATAAACCCACCATTCTATAAGTTTCTTTTGTCAAGTGTTCATTATGCCAATGAAAAAAGTAACTATTACATCCATTCATTGAAATCTATGTGAAATTCAGGAAAGAAATCTTTTAAATGTACAATGTGAGAAAGTTTTCATTTATTTTACAACTTTCCAGACATATAAGATGGCACACTAGGGAGAAATTCTGTAACTATAATCACTGTGGAAATACTTTATTGTTCCAGCTTATTTACTTAAATGTAAGTCAGGTTTGAAAATTCTCACATTGTCTCACCTTTACAAAAATCAAATATCAAAGCTACAGGAAAAATGGTCATAAAAACACTTTCAAAGTCATCTGAAAATGACCACTGGAAAAAAAATGTATTATAGTAACCCAATATAAATTAATTTATGTATGATGTTGGAGAACATGTGTAATGTGAAAGAAATGTTGTAAAAACACTGTTTCTCTTATCACATGATTTTGTGTTAGTGTGTATTAATTGTGCTAATTTTGGGCTTCATTATGGCGTTTTCAAACATGCTTGTTTATGTATTTGGTCATATTCAATCCTTAATTTGTAAAGTAGATTTTTGGGTGGTAGAATTCCTTTTTCATGGTTATAATATTTAAGAAACATGTGTAGTTGAAAAAAGAGAAAGAAACATGTATAAGTCTAGTACATGTGATTTTTATTTAAATCACCCAATAAAATGTTTCCATTTTGAGAAAATAATGTGTATGACTGTGTAATTGTTACAGGAAAGGAACAATATTCCAACATGCTACCATGGACCTCTTTCAGTTGCAAAAGGTGCAGGCTCCCTTCTCTCAACCATCCCCTTGTCACAGACAAAATGTACAAAGAATGGATTTCAAAAGACATTTATTTGTGTAAAGAAACAACAGGAATTTGATAAGTTAGACAGAAGTGGGAGTGAGAAAGAGGCTATGGAGAAAGAATAAGAGGGAAGGACAGAGACATCGGGAGTGGATATGGTAGAAGTCTGTGACATGCTAGAAAAGTCTAGATTTATATATATCAAAAAAGCAAAACATCCATTGCTTGGTTTCCTTCTCCAGAAAATTCACTTCTGAGTCAGCTATCACCACACAAGACATTCAGTACTTGGAAGACACCATCTAAGACATAAGGGTGGCTGCGTGGAGGTTCGGAAAGAGGCTGGAGGTATCCTAGTTCTTTGTTTCTGTCTTGCCCAGGCCCCAGACATGGGAATGAGGAAGGTTTTTAATACTTCCAGCTCAAGCTCCAGCCATTGCTGATCACAGCCTTGTGAGAACCCCTGAGTAGAAACAACCTGAACCATCGGATGAGCCCAGTCAGCTCTCAAAATCCGAGGAAACGTAGGAAAAGGGGTTTGTTTTGTGTTTTGATTTGTGCTATTTGGAATGCATTGTCCAGAAGTCAAGACCCCCTATCCCTTGGTCTTTCACTGAATATTATTTGTACTGTCCTAATACTCTTGGGTGTGGAGTCTGTAATGGAGCACAGCTGGACTACCATGAATCACATCCTTGAACAAAACTGGTACTCCCTCCTCCCACATCTACAAATTGCCAACATCTCCCCAGCTAGGGATGGCACTTCATGCTCACCACCACCCCCTTGCTGGGATTTTGTCTCATTTGAACTTGTGTAGGTCAGAACTACATCAAGTTGATACGGACAATTTCCCTGTTATGTCCAGAAAACACTTTCCCTGTAGTCCTCCACCATCTCTGGCTTGCATAATCTTTCCAAACCCTCTTCCATGATGATCCATGAACTTTCAGAAGAGGGGTTTGCTATAGTTAGCCCATTTGTTGTTGAGCACCCTGTAGTTCTTATTCTGTGCATGATTACCAGTTGTGGGTCTATGTGTTCATTGCCATCTATTGCAAGAAGATTCTTTGGTGAGGGCTGAGAGATGCACTAATCTATGGGTGTGGTGGTCTGAGTAAGACTGGTTTCCATCGGCCCATAGGTTTGAATGCTTGGTCACCAGGGAGTGGCACTATAAGAGGGTGTGACCTTGTTAGAGTAGGGGTGGGCTTGTCGGAGGAAGTGTGTCACTAAGGGTGGGCTTTGAGGTCTCCAGAAGCCCAAGACAGGACCAGTGTTTCCCTCTTTCTACTGCTTGCAGATCTGGATGTAAAACTCTCAGCTACCTCTCCAGCACCATATCTGCCTGGGTGACACCATGCTCCCTGCCATGACAACGTGGCCTAAACCCCTGGAACTACCCATGCCGAAAATTGTCCATTTCTTTTAGATTTTCCAATTTTGCGGAGTATAGATTTTTGAAGTATGACCTGATGATTCTCTGGATTTCCTCGTTATCAGTTGTTATGTCTCCCTTTTCATTTCTGATTTTTATTAATTTAAATGCTCTCTCTCTTTCTGCCTTTTGGTTAGTCTGGATAAAGACTAGATAGTAAGAAAGGCCCTAGGAAAGACACAGGGATCACCCAGTGATGGAGAAATGGATGAGATCTACATGAGCAAGCTAGGGGTGGGGATAGGGGGTTAATAGAGGGTAAGGGATGGGGGAATGAGAGCTTGGGGAGTGGGAGGTTCGAGCTGGATCGGGAACACAGTGGGAGAACAAGGAAAGAGATACCATGATAAATGAAGGCACCATGGGAATAGGGAGAAGCAGAGTACTAGGGAGGTCCTCAGGAATCCACAAAGATGACTCCACCATAGACTACTGGCAATGGTCGAGAGGGTGCCTGAGCTGACCTACTCTGGTGATTGGATAGCTGAATACCCTAACTGTCATCATAAAACCCTCATCCAGTGATGGAAGCAGATGCAGAGATCCATGGTCGGGTACCAGGCAAAGTTCCAGGAGTCCAATCGATGAGAGAGAGTAGGGATTCTATGAGCAAGAGATATTGAGACCATGATTGGAAAGAGTACAGAGACAACTAGTCAAACTAGTGGAAACACATGAACTGTGAACCAATAGCTGAGAAACCCCCATGGAACTGGACTAGGCCATCTGGATAAGTGAGATAGTTGTTTGGCTTGAACTGTTTGGGGGGCCCCCATGCAGTGGGACTGGAACCTGTCCCTAGTGCATGAGCTGGCCTTTTGGAGCCTCATGCCTATGGTGAGACACTTTGTGCAGCCTTGGTGCAGGGAGGAGGGGCTTGGACCTGCCTCAACGGAGTGTACTGGGTTCTGCTGACTCCCCATGGGAGACCTTGCCTTGGAGGAGGTGGGAACGGGGGTGGGGTGGGTAGGAAGGATGGGGGTTGGGAAGAGGGAGGACGGGGAAATCTGTGGTTGATATGTAACA